AAAAAAAAAAAAAACCTACAAATGTGAAACAATCGGACTTGTGAGATTGATATTTCTCTTTTGATAGAAAGAATAGCAATCTCAACATGGGTATATATATATATATATATATATATATATATATATATATATTTTCAATAGCACATTCTTAAGTTACTGCAAAACTAATGCATTCAAGTAATGTCTTAAGAAAAAAGTTGAACCTTCTCTTTTTGTAATCTGATCATAGGACGATCTCATACGATTTATTACATGTGTGGTGTCTATCTCTTTAACCACATGCTTGGTCTAATGTGTGCTCAATTAAGTTAAAATCTTAGCTCCACCTACAAGATTTCTAAAATAAAATAAAAACATAAGTTTGTAAGAGGGAATAGAAAAGAATGCCTTTTTTTTTTTCTCCTCTGAGCAGCACTTTCATTTAAGGGTGTAAACGAACTCACTGATACTTCCCCTCGATGGTACGTCCCTCACTATATCATAGTTGTACGATTGTACGTGAAAATAATACAACACCCACATTCGACCAAATCATAACTCCTTTGCCCTTTTCAATTACGGGAATAATCAATTGGGGCTAGCAAGGCATGCATTTTTCGGGCTCAGCAGCTTACAGTGCGCACGATGAGAACATATGGAAAGATATTGTATGTTTACGGCCTATAAGAATCTAAACCGAGTGCAAAAAATAAAATTTAACAAAATACTTACCTAATGATAGTAGATTTTTGCCAATTCAAAGAATTTTCTAGATACTTGAGTTCTCTTTTCTATTTAGGGCTTCAAAACGGCACATAATTTGTCAACATGAGGCCTAGTTGCATCAGCTACCCGATCAATAGACGGGTTACTAATTTTCCTCAAATCTGACACGGTATGTGACAAAATACTTTTATTAAGTAGAAATAGTTGATAAGTAACAAACTAAAATACCTGGATATAGTAATATGTAACCCACCTGAAAATATGGATCAATAGGTTTTAAAACTGGAATGATATGTGGAGACAATGCATTCTTAGACGATTTATATATCTCGATGGATTTTGTTGTAAGTGTTTGCACGCGCGGTTGAACATTATTGGCAATAAATGTCCACTTTTCCTTGACAATTGGGGCCCATTTCTACAAACATCACAAGGATTAAAAGAAACGTTAAATTTCAAATTTGTAAGTAGTATAATGCAAAATGTTTGATCAACCAAAAACACTCGTATCTATCAAGCAAATTAAAGTGACCTTATGTAATCCCAACAATGGCTAATGGCTATTCAGTAAGAACTATCGTATGAATCGGCTAATACGTAGAAAATTAAGGAAGTTTATTCCAACAATGTCGTGTATTGACATCATCTCCTCAAGCAATTAAAAACCTTTCAAAGATACAAATTTAGGCAAATACCCAGATACCTTATGCAAAGCTTACTTGCAGCTTTCATGACTTTCACATGTGGCGCATAAGCAAAAAGGTGAATGTTAATTGATATATTTGAAAGACTTAAACAATAATGTAGACGTGAATATAATTATATTTTGACTAATGTGCAAAGTAAAATTGGCAACCTTTTGCATGAACAGGTCGATAGTAGGCTTCCCATGAATGTTCCAATTCGCCATTAAATGTGCCAGGGAATATAGAATAATCAACAAATTCTAAACATTGCTCCAAAAGAGAAGGGGAGAAAATGTGCATGAAAAGTTAAATAAATACCTGATAACGAATTAAATAAGCAGCAAGGCACGGAGGAAACCAAGCAGCACCATGAACCTGAATATATTACAAATATAAGAAAAATAACTAATGTACATACCAAAATAGAACTTATCAACAGAAACAGAAACAGAAAAATAGAAAAATGAACAATATATATTGCAAGCATCTGATTGAATTTCATCTCCATCAACTCCTTCATTTTGGATGCCACCTCAAAACTTTGTGTTCATCGTTTCTTCTTGAATATGATTTCATATAAGCAACAGGAGAAAAAAAATCATACCAATGACCTTACAAAAGCATCTAGTAGAGGGCAAAAGTTTTAATAACATACCTCAGTAATTTGAAGAGCTTGTTCAGTTTTCTGTAACTTGGACTTGTGGTTGTCAATTATCTTTTGAAGCTGTTAAGTGAAAAAAAAAAAAAAAAATTCAACAATTATCATGCCCATACACAGGTTCACTATATTGTGCATCATTACACAAAGATTGTGAACAAGATATTAAATATTTATTGCAAATTAAGATTACATATTTCAGATATCAAAAAATACAAAAAATACAAGATCTACATCATTTTACCAAACCATGCACACATGACAAGAACTTACGCTATTAACTTTGGTATTCAATTCAAAAGCCTTTTTCTCATCTTCGGTTAGTCGGGCTTCCAGTTGCTCCTTTTTCTTGATTTTCACCTCGAGATCCATTGTGAGTTCTCCATCTGCATTTTTAATTCACCGATCCTTGAATATGACTTTCCCAACTGCACAACAACATATGAATTTCCATTTTCTTATCTGAATTCGACTATAAAAAAACTGGGGGTCGAATTTTGATGAGAGATCTAAAAATATACAAAACTTTTTCACTGTGAAAAGGGGAAAATCAGTCTTCGATTACCTGCGAGCTTATGTTGTCGACACTTTGCTCTGTATTAGTTTCGAGAATCTGATGAGTAAGAAAAAGGGTATCGTCTTAATCTACAATTACATAAATAAGAAATTTCATCAGTCACGAAGAGCATATGCATCAATCATCTCTGAGATTCAAAATCTTTTTTATTTTCTCTTTCACTTTGCTTAGATGATGAATCAAGTTACCTTTAAATATTTACAGAAATCACAAAATCGTAGAGGTGAAGAATTTTCCAGACGCTAGCATTAAGATATTCATGGCGAAATTTTGTTTCTGAAATATGCTTTCGATCTTCTTAACAAGGAAGTTGATCTAAAACTCTCCCATGAACACACACCTGCAAATCGAGACAAATTTTAAATTAACCTACAAAAAGTTTGGCTGACCATTATAGATGACACACACGGATACAGATGCAGATATGAACTTTTTAGATTTTCGAAAAAACTCTAACCAAACTTCAATAGTTGAATATCTCCTGCACAAATGTGACCTGCAAATCAGTACAAAAAATTAGAGACACAATCGTTAGAAAAAAATACCAAAGGGTGGGGCTAAGGCTAAGGTTGTAGAAACCATGACAAACCAAATACTGTAAGAAAAAACCAGGACAAACCAGACAACAAAATAATTTAGAAAGCTTAACCAAAAGAGCAGCAACAAGAAATTGCAGGGAGAATGTAAAACAATAAACTTTTCTGGTTTGATTCACGCCGACGACAACCTCGTTCGAAGAACCAAAAAAAATCACAAATTGAAGAAGTAAATACCCAAAAATTAAACTATACTAACAAAGCATAGGCATATCCCTAAACATACCAGAATTTAGATCTCCAAACCACATAATAGCAACCCCAACCAAAAACAGGGACCAAACCAAAATGCAGAATATCATCGGCCAAGAATCTTAACTGAGGCAGCACACAAATACAGACCCATGAGAGGCCCCGCAAGCAAGCAACATTTGAGTAACAGGGTCAGTGGATGAGGTTAGTATAGCGGCTTCTATAACCTACCCAACCACCACATATCTCCAAATAGACTACATTTGGTATGATGAGACCAAGGAGCTGTACAACTGGAACCTGAAGAAGCACAAACACAAGTGCATATTTTTAGAATAATGAAACTAAATACACGTTCTATCAAACAATTAAGTACTATTGAGGCTTGAGTCCTATTTAGTGATAAAATAATAAGAGCAGTTATGATGAAATCTGCTCTTGATAGCAGGCTATTCGACAAAATTAAGAAGTCTACAAATGAAGATGTAATCTTTTTTTTTTTTTTTTTTTGCTATTTATACACAAGATACAATACTGAGGGACAAACCTTATTAGTTCATTTGAAGACCCAACACCTGGAAACTGAGTACTGGCTAACCCCCTCAATATCATTAGAAATCTCCTTGCTTTCAACCTACCCGTCGAGATCAAGTTTATCCCTATCGTAAAAAGTGCCATTAGTGTTCTCCATTACAAAATTTGTGTCTGGATATGGAACCCTGCAAGAAAAATTAAGGTAAAGGTGACACCTACATATACATTTGGTTCTAATTGCATAAAACGTGAATGGTTTTGGTTTATGTTTAGTACATGTGGGTAGGATTTTCTTGCTTTGTAGTTTACCTTTATATATATAGTAAATAAAAAGACAAGAATCAAAAGATATCAACATGAATCCACATTCCACTGATGGAATAATGCATACTTATAAAATTGGTCATTTTCTGAAATTCACGGAGAACAATAATGCTCATATGATCCTTAGTGAAAACAATAGCAAAGTTGCACTCAAATGATACAAACAGCTGCAGGCAAAGTTGCACTCATATGATCCGGGTGACTTGTTGAAAACAATAGCAAAATCCACGCCGATGGCAACTTATATTAAAGATTGAGATTACCTACAAAAATTGGTAAGGGAATATAAGTCCTATTTACAGAAAATCTTTGTTCAATTGTGTGGGTTCAGCTACATAGATAAGTAGTATGTACATAGCAGATTCATTCAGTTCCCAACAACCCGACAAAAGCTACCAACCTTACACAGCCAAGCAAGGAATGAATAACGCTGTCCGAGCTGCCTGTCCAGTCTCGACAATGTTTCAGAGTGGGCATAACTGACATTAAGCTCTTTTTCCGTATTATCATCCCCGAAAGATGAGATAAGAACACAGAGAAAAAATTTATACGCATAAGAAAAACAAATTGTACATACCCAACAAGAACTCCATCGGAGCTACTGTTGTCGTCGTCCAAGGACGTACCTTCATCACCCCAACCATCGTCGCTTGTGAACTACCCGGGCTCAGCCTACCGCTCGTCAACATCTACCGGGGCTGAGCTTCTGCACTCGGATCTGTCTAAAGATATCGCATTTACACAAAATTTACAAAAATATAAAAATAAAAAAATAAACAAAAAGATAAATTTTGAGGCGGGTTTCACCGAATCTCAGGGATTTGTGTTGTAGTCTGTAACAACGAATATCTTGTGCTGGAATTCTAGCTGCGGCGAGAGCTCTGCTCGTCTAGAGTTTCCGACGCTGTTGTGAATCGGCGAAATTCGCAGGGAAATGAGCAACGAGGGTTTGGTCGCTTCTATTTTTTTTCCCTTTCTTTGTTGTCCAGCGGCGAGCGATGAGAAAGGAAGGGGAGAGTTGGCCGATATGTTAATTGATAACCGCTGCAGCGGCGGGGACTGAGTCGGAGTCGGCAACCTTGCGGCTATGGCAGTGAGTGGGAAGCGAAGGTTAGGGATTGGTTTGTGAAGCCCGATGGCGACAAAAGCGGACTCTTGGAGCGCTGCTCTCCATCGCCGAACCACCGCGAGTCTGGCCACCACTTTTGCCCCCGAGAGAATTGTCCTGAGAAATTATGCGTGTTATGTGAAAAAAAAAGATTGATCGGAGAGAAAATGAGACTTGGGCATCTGTTTCTTAAAACAATGAGATACAACAAACAATAATTACCCATTTGCAAAGTCGGCCCCAATTTACGGGAAAACAATTTACTGTACAAAGGATTGAAAGCACACATCACGCACGTCCCCGCAGATTTTCAGGTCCAGAAATCCCGGAAGAGCACGCCATAGAAAATCCCGTAGGAGCACCTCTGATCGTGAACAGTGCTAAAAAAATTGCTTCTATGGATTTTCCTTCGCTCTCGATCTTTCACTTGATATGAGAAAGAGGATTTATGAGAGAGAAATGGGAGATTTCTCAAATCTTATCGGTCCAATCAGAAGATCGATATAGCGCACGTCGCCACTGGATTTTTTGGGAGGAAATCCCGCAAAAGCAATGCATGTAGATAGCAAAAATAGTGGCAAGAATGTAATAAAACCAGGACACTTGTCAACTTTTTACAAATTTTAACAATAAATAAATAAAGTTAATGGCAAAGTTGTAATTAAAAGATAAAAAGAAGGGTATTTTTGTCCAAAAAGGACACGTGTCGCGTCCACAATATGCCCTCATTGTTTGCTTATATGTATTGTAAAGATAAAATGTACTTATCAAAACCCACAGTTTCTCCTCTCTTGCATAAATCTTAAAATTATTTTCAAAATATAATTTTTGTTTCATGAAAAACTAAAAAAGTATAAAATTTTTATACTCTTACTGATTTGATCTATATTAAATATTAAGTTTTTAAACAAAAACAAGTAATATTAAGATTTTCATCACATTATTCAGACAAACTATATATTGTTAATGAGAAGAAATCCGATGACTCTACATCATTGTATTATTAAATAAAAAGTCTATTAATCAGCCGAATTACATTGTTTCATATTTTGTATTACTAAACAAGTAAATATTATGATCATATATATAACTCAATACTTATTGGTCATTTTATAATTTTTTTACATATAAAAGAATAAATTAATTATTTATCAACTGAATAAATATTTTGGTCATACATATAACTCAATACTTATTTTGTGTTTTTATGTGTTTTATTTGTTCCCGTTTTAGCTTTTGTAGGGTTTTCCAGGTCCATTGGGGTGTTTTTTATCGTTCTTGTGTATTCGCATCGTTTTGGTGTCTTTTTCTTTTTAGTTCCTCTTTTTATATTTTATTTTGTAGGAAAATTGCATTTTGGACAGTTGCCCGAGAAAAACCCGTCATTTTCCAATGAGAGACGAACCGTTGCCGAAGACCTAGCTTTCGTTGCCTGCGTTGCCGAGAATACCTAGGTCTCATTGCCCGCACAAGACCCCAGCTCGCTTGCCAATCAGCTTTCGCTTAGGTCACGAGTGCGGCCTAGGTCGCGAGTTTTCAGCTCGCCCGAGAGTATCGTAATATTTCGCCTAGGTTGCGAATGTGGCCTATAATGCCCCTTGACACTTGGGGGTCCATTGAAACTTGTGATATAAAATTTAAAAGTGCTCCAAATTTTTTATACCGTGCTTATTACATAAGAATTTACCTTGTGCAAGAAAATTTTTCATTCACATTCTTCTTCTCTCATTTTTGGAGTTGTTTCGGTCGTGCTTGTTTATCAAATTTCTAGAAAAAATTTAAGAAAAAAAAATTATATCTCAATTTTAAATCTAACTCGACTTTAACTCAACCCCATCATCTTCAATATTATCAATATAACTAAATAATATCATTCAATTATTCTTACACATTACATGAATTCACTATTCATCCACGTTTAACTATCTATATAATTTATATCCTACGTTTACATCAAACCAATTTTAATTATTCTTTTTAAATATTATTTTAATAGATTTTTAAATTTTCACACACAACTAATCATATTAACTGTTTTCAAAAGCTCTAGTTAACACAAAAAAAAAAAAGAAGATTTTTTCTAGTTCTTATAAACTAGCACGGTCTTACTTCCCGTGACCAAATCCATAGCATTGAAAATATCTTGATCATCTTTTTATAATTCTACTCATAACATTAGTTAGTGTAAAATTTGTCTCATTACAAGAAGACAAAATATGAAATGAAAGGGTTGTATTTGCACAAGTAACAAATAACATTGTCCTCTTTGATCAGCAATAGTCTCATCCTCGATTATCATTTCAATAAATTAATTATAGAAGAGAACATGGAGATAATGTTCGACTTTGTGTCATATAGACTATTAAAAAAAGGTTAAAATTATTTTTATTATGTCTCGCAAGTTCTCCAACTTTGCCTTTTCTTCTTAAATATTTATTTAGAAATTATAAATAACATATATTAGCAGCAAAAATTCAGCCTGGGCAGTTGCCCAGGCTGGACCAAGTGTAAATCCGCCCCTGCATCGATCTAGTCCCCAAAATGGCATGGTTGCGGCCATTGACGCAAAATAGTCCGCTGCAAAGTTTACTTCATGATGAACATTTCAAACCTCTTAATTTGTATGTTTGGAGAGATATATGATCTAGTCTAAATGAAATTACATGTGCGTTTGTTAGCTAGAATTGGTGGTCCTTCTAAGTTCTATTAATGTTAATAGATTAAATCATATGATCTTATCTAAGACTGTCTATTGATTTAAGAAATAATTAGAGATCGTATCATGATTATCGAATAAGCAATGAAGGATAGGTTGTGAGGTCGTACCAATAACCATAATCAAGAGAGTATGAGATTAATTATTTTTTGCATCCATGATCGAATCGTTGAAGCATTTCAATAACATTTTTCCTTGGTTGGATATTTTCTCCATTTTGAATCACTTTCGTTTTCGTCTCTAGTTAGATTTTATTTTATTTTAGTTTTCATACTTAGATAAAATTATCAAAACCCCAGTCACTTTTATTTTGTATTTCTTTCACGAATAGTTGCATCGATACACTGTCTAACCAATTTTTGTGGATACGACCATGCTTACTACTACATTAATTATTTTACAAGCAGGAATTTATTATTGTTGCCTTGTTCGATTCAACACCTAATAGCCTGGGTCTTCGTCCGTGTGCGTAGTTGACTGTAGGTGTAGGCGTTATTTTGTTCGGTTTTGATTTGTTGTTGTAGGAAGGACTTTAAATTTAAATATTTTTGTGTTTTTGTTGTTGTGTTTGTATTGTGCCCGTAAATATGCGTTTATGTTTATTTCTCCACTTTAGGAGTGTCAGATTATCTCGTTGGAGGGTGTGTATTTTCTTGTTAGGGGTAGGCTTTCCCTCTCTCATGCTTATCTCCTGCACTGCATGCACTACACTTGTTCCCTATCGTAAATCGCGCCCACTTCCCGAGCCTATCTTCTTCTTCTTAAAGATTTGTTTCCACTTCCCGAGCCTATCTTCTTCTTCATAAAGATAGACTTAAGGCTACGAAAAAACATGACTCCCTCCTTTCAAACTCACCCATCTTTCTTGACGCAATTCCCCCACCAAAACGAAAAAGCCCTTTAGCTCAAACATGAAAGATTCCCATTTCATTTCCTCTTTTTTTGTATGAATAGGGATCACAGCCTTGAAAAAGCGATGGCCTCGGCGAGTGGCAGCACCACCATCGTCACCGCCGCCGGAAAGGCAAAAACTGTGGAGGACAAGCCCGATTCCGCCGGCATGGACGAGCTCTTTGCTGTCCTGGGTTACAAGTTGAAGTCCTCCGACATGGCCGATGTTGCCGAGAAGCTGGAGCAGCTGGAGATGGCGTTGGCCACCACCACGGAGCAAGACGGAGCCTCTGTTCTCTCCACCGACACCGTCCACTACAACCCCTCCGACATCTCCGGCTGGGTCGACACCATGTTATCTGATATCACCACCTCCTGTGGCTGTGGATTCGAGATCGGCAACATCCCCGGCGAATCTTCTTCCGGCAATCATAATACAACCGGTAGCTCGCGCACAGATGGAGAACGAAGAAGAGTCACATACGACGGTGATCTGAGCGCGATTCCTGGCGGGGCCGTTTTGCAGAGCGGAGCTAATAAGAGGATGAGAATCAGTGCTGGATTCCTCGAAAACGTTTCTCCGCCTGTGACAGCGGCTCGGCCGTTCGTAGTGGATTCCCAGGAGACCGGGGTGAGACTCGTACACGCGCTGACGGCGTGCGGCGAGGCTGTGCAGCAAGGTAACATGAAATTGGCGGACGCCTTGGTGCAGCACGTAAGCGTGCTGGCGGTTTCGCAGGGCGGCGCCATGGGGAAGGTCGCCACCTACTTCGCGGCGGCTCTGGCCCAAATAATCTATGGGATTGGTTTCTCTCAGCTGGACCCGCTCCAATTGGATCTTCTGCAGATGCACTTCTATGAAACGACACCGTATCTGAAATTTGCACACTTCACCGCCAACCAGGCGATACTCGAGGCCTTCGCAGGGTCAGATCGGGTTCACGTATGTAAGAACATTGGTTTGGCATCATGTCCGACAAACCTAAGTGTTTTCTAGAAGATTTCTTGTTAAGCAAGCAAAATAAATTAAAGGGAAGTTTTTCTATGTGATTTAATTAAGTTCCTAATATTTATTATTAATAATATATGG